TACTGTCAGGCCTAGATGAAAGACTCGTGTCGTGGTTCATAGTTACCAGCGTTGAGCGCTTCTTTTGACCTCTTCTCTCTGAGCACATTTCGGCTAGGGATGTGAAGATTTCCTTGTCTTTTGGCACCCTCATCCAAGGAACGTTATACATTTTGAAATTCCTTTTTATCTGAGTTGAAACAATGACAATTTTATAAAATTCTACTCCTGCCCAGTCGCAAAAAGTTGCTTTAGCTTCCCAAAAATGGGAATAGAAACTAACAGTCTTAATTTTGGCACGTATAATCAGGTACTTTAGTGTTTCCTCATAATATTTCAAACTATGACGATTACATATAAAGCACACGCTTAAATACTCAATCATTTGAGAGAATAATGGAGGATAAGAGATAAAGAGAAATATCAAGGACAGAAAGATAAAGGTAATAGGTAAGATGAGAAGGAATGGCGCCATAAGGCCAAACATCATTTATAGATTGTACTCGAACGGGAGCGGTACGCCCCCTGGGTGGAATTTGGACGCTCTCCACATATAAAGTTACAATGACTAAGACTACGACAGCTCCAGCTCAGAAACCGGGTTCAAACGAACCCGGTTCGTGAGCTGGAACTATCGTGGTCTTAGTAACCTATAGAATAGCCCTTGCTAGTTATCTGAGTTGAGCTGAACTATTCAAACAGTTCTGGTGAGCTGTTCTAACAGTTCTCTTGAGCTGAACTGAACTGTTCGAACAGTTCCGCTCAGTTCGATAGAGCTGTGCGAGCAGCTCCTGGGCTGAGCTGAACCGTTCAAACAGTTCAACAGTTCGGAACTGTTTCCGAACTGTTATAGTCCTAATAGTAACTAGTTTAGGGTACCATTACAGACCATAGAAACTAGTATCTGCCATTGTTAAATATACGAGCTAACAATTAATATTTCGTTACAGACATAAGCAAATAGGCAATGAACTAATTATAGGTTTTGGAAATCAGGATAGATTTTTCAGATGAACTATTTTGAATTATTTTAGTAAGCCGAAGGTATATGTGTGAGTTCCACATTTTAGCCCCAAAGGGGCTGCGCTAAGAAGCTTTTGTGAAACACGATCTGAAAGGAGTGTTGAAGTATATAGGGTAGAAATTTGGACGCATCCCCNTCTCTGTAACGGTCTGTGATGGTTTCTGAGGTCTCTGTAACGGTCTGTGATGGTTTCTAGAGACTCTATACATCATAATACAGGCCGTAACAGAGAAGCTCCACAGACCATCACTGACCATGATAGACGGATTCCAGAAAAGGAGTTTCATCGTGTTTCACATTTTAATCCCGCAGGGATTGCGCTAAGAAGCTTTTTTTATAAGATTCATTTAATCGTGATTTTATAAAAACGGATAAATTATCATTGATAACTCAGACAAAGTTCTGTAATTGATTCCTACATTCTAAGGAATTTAAGTGAAATAAATCTTTACCTGACGAGCAAAGTTTCATAAATGACAATGGTAAGCATATTGCTTGTGGCGAACAGCACGAGTTAATGACGCATACGAAAGTACTTGATGGACAAATATAGCTAACATTATTACATGGTTCTAAAATAGAACATAATACACCAGGGGCACAATAACTATTATTGTTGATTGTACGATAATCAAAGCAAGGTGTTGACGATGACAGACAGCTTTCATTATTATTTGAGTTTACATTACATTGTTGTAAAGAGCAACTTGATATTGGTTCCGATGCAGAATGTTGAGATGAAGACAGCGTTAGTTGAATAACTGTATCAGTTACATTACATATATAGCTAGGTTTTTCTGTTGTTTGACCTAAACATCTTTAATATTGTGAATGAGTGGCATGAGATTAGATAAATTAAAAGACCTTTCACATTTAATAAAAGGATGCTAAAAATCAAAATTATTGTAAATTGGAAGTTTCTTTTGTCGTCCATGAACAATATGAATATTCAAAATGAATAGTTATTTCTTTCTGTTCTCTTTCACATTCCTTCCAGAATTTGTTTTTTAACTTGAATCACAGAACAATTTTTCTTCTAATATTTCTTTTACTTGTTGGGTGTATTGTCTCCATTGGACAAAGAAAAACCTCTTTCCATTTCATTTCTGCAACACTTAATGAATTGCTTTAAAAAAACCCACTAGATGCAGCGTGCAAAGTTCTACAATTTGCACAGTACAGTTTATTGAAATAAGAAAAAAGGAATTTTTCATTGGTGTAGAAAAATGATCCTGTCGCAACGTCGAAAATTAGTCGGACCAAATTTTGGTTTTTTGAAAACGAAAATTACATAATTTAAATAAGCTTTACTTTACAGACTGTAGAGCTTTGCACGCTGCATCTTGTGGTATATTTTGGTTTTTAAAAATAATGCACTAATGCGGGAAGGTCCCCAAGTGTTGACCCGGAGATTAGAATGAAAACTATATGGCGGTTACAAGTTAAGTACCCATATCTCAAATATGAAAGAATTAGCAGCTGAGGCGGAACCGTTCAAAGAATTTCAGTTAAAAGATTATCGTAACAAAACCCTGAGGGGGACGACAGGGAATTTTTTTATAAAAATAAATTTGTATGGGAAAATTTGAAACATCCATGAGTCGATTAGGATATTGTTGGCGACTTCAAATGTGAGGTTAGCTTTACCGCAGGGTGTGTGGGTGTGGGTGTGTGAGTGTGAGGGTGTGGCCATCGGTGTCGGTTTTCTATACATTCAAACCCCCACCCCCACACCCAACGCTATATATATATATAACGTTTAGAGGTGAATAAAAATGTGAATATAAAATAAAAGTGTCATCATGTTTAAATAAAATTAATTCAAATTTTGATGTTATAAAATATCATGCTGAATAATACATGATTAGTGTAGACTAGGGGTGAGAAGTTATTGTTATATTGTTGTTATTAATAACAATAACAATAACTTTATTGTTATTGTTATTAATAGCAATAACTTTTTTCGATAGTTATTTGTTATAAATAACAAATAACTTTTTTTCCTCAAAACTCAGTTCATTGTTTATATGGGTTATACCATGAGAATTGGCACTATGGAAGTCAAAAATTTGTTCTAAAGCGTAAGCTCATATAAGGGATGTAATTAAAATATACAGCGAGCTGAGACAAGATCTTTTTCAAAAAAAAAAGTTATTTGTTATTTATCTGTTATTTATAACAAATAACAAAAATGTTATTGTTATCAATAACAATAAAAGTTATTGTTATTAATAACAATAACAATAAATTCTCACCCCTAATCTTTATTGAACAAAATCAAGAAAAACAATTAATTAGCAAACACGAAGACCATTGAACATATTTTCTTTTGAACGTAGAGTTTCCATCTGATTTAAGAGCTTTTAACAAATCTCGTTGGCCTGATAAATATTCATATATTTGAATACTTGGTAAGGTGGAATTCAAACGTATTTTTAAGTGATGTGATATAAGTTCGGTTTTCATAGAGTTCTTCTTATCGTTTAATAAATGTTTCAATTTTGAGAATGCTGATTCAACGTAAACATTGATACAAGATAAAAATCATATTAAGTTTTTAAAATTTGATGGCTGAGTGAAAGAAAATAGAAACATCCATAACTGGTCGAGACTGACAATTTTGTTTCCTGTTGACTTATTATCATCTTCACTTCGTTTTTTTCTGTTCCTGTAGTTTTTTCGAATTATGCTAACTATTTATGCTTATCAACCGAACACACAAAGAATATATGTATTGATTTGCATGAACCAGATGATTGTTTGTAGTCAGTAGAAAATAAAGATCATCTTTCTAATTATGAAGAAAATCTTTGAGATAAAACGGTTGGTTAAAAAGATAAAAAACAAAGTATTAAGAAAAGCAGAAATTTTTTCAAAAAGCAGAAACGACAGAAAAAAGGCAGAAAAAACTTCAAAAAGCAGAAGAGGTGGCAGCCCTGCTCAACTGTCGGTGTACCCCACCCCCACACCCTCAAATTCATTGAGATATTCTGCGCAAAGGCAATTGAAGAGGTTTACGAAAATTTTCATATACATTAAGAAGAGTATTTCGTAAATCTCTTAAGTTATCATCCCGCATCATTTTTGGCGTCAGACTAATTGTCATTTTCAGTGACATTGTTTGCAGATGCTAGAGCAACTTGAACTTCTACAATATCTTGCTCGATTTGTATGCACAATGGATGTGTATTTGGGAGTGTTTGACTCAGAATAGATTTCGCTTGTTGATAGAAGTTAAGCGCTTTGAATAGATTGCCATTATTCACATAGTAAGTACCAAGATCTCGTAGCGAATCAGCGAGTTCTGGATGATTCGATGGAAGACTTTTTCGTATAATAGCCAATGACTGTTCGAAAGCTACTAAAGCTTGATCGTTCAATCCAAGGATACCGGATGCAACTCCAATATTTTTCAAGGTTCTTGCGATACTTGGATGAATGTCTGGTAAACATCGGTTCATGATTTGCAAGGCCTGAAGAAAATATTTGAGTGCTTCTCTTATCTCATCTCGTTCGGCAAAAACGGTACCGATATTGTGAAAACACATGGCCACATTTTCATGATCATCACCTTGATACTGTTGTCGCCAGAGATCCAAGGCTTTCTGATGGTGAATTAATGCTTCGTCAAAATCACCACATTGGCGCAGAGCTTCTCCGAGACTATTGTGAGAATAGGGTAAGTGCGGGTGATCGTTGGGCAGTGTTTTCTGCTTGAGTTCGAGTGAACGTCGATGATAGTCAACAGCCTCCTTATATTGTCCCCTATCGGTAGCAAGGTTACCTAACATGAGATAACAACCGGGTAATACATGAGGATTCGAGTGTTGTTGCTGTACAAGTTCTTTGAAACATCGCTCGGATGCATTTAAGTGTTGCATTTTCCAAAAAACTCTACCCAATTCGTATAAGTTTGTTTCATCGTCAATGTCTTCCTTTAGACGCTCAAACGACGGCGTTAGTTCACTATCATGATCACTACATAAATCGAGTTCAATCGTCCAAAGATTTTCTTGTTCATTGAATTTAATACGACAAATGCGAAAGATAGCTCCAAGCATAAAAAGGATTTCCTCTTCATCCTGATAGTAACTTATAGTCTTAACATCAGCGAATGGCTTCGCTCCATTTAATCGTCCTTCGATTCGTAAATCAAATAGAATGCTAGAGAACCCAACTCCTTCGCCTGCAAATGCAAGTGCCATTTGTCGATCGGTGCTTGTTGACAAAAAACTATTCATGGAAATGAAATTGCCGACATTAAGTTGAAATCGATCCAATTCCTCACGAGACATCAGCTGACCACGATAATAATGTTGAATAGGATCTGTTAGTTTTGCTTGCTTGTGAACATTATACAATTGTTGATGAATATCGATGATTAATCTGCGAAATGCATAGAGGGTATCCAAATCTCGCTGCCGTAAAGCTGTATTAAGCATCCGATAAACAAAGCAATCTCTCGTGTACCATTTAATGGCTTCCGATGAAATGTAGTTTTCGGCAAACTCTTTTATTTTCCGTTTCTCTACTGAGTCATTTTGATACTGTTGAAGACATCGATCGATTAGTTCTTGTTTAGCCTTTTCACAATCGTTCATTCGTAAAATAACTTCAATAAATAGTTGAAACCAAAGAAAGTCTCCATTGAGATTTGACGAAGAACTCTCCAAACGAACGAAAATACCAATTGGAAGTATTTGATTATCGTCGTCGAAGTGACGTCGAAATCGACAACTTGCTGATATTTTTAGAGATTCTTTCTCCATGGAAAGAAAATGTGCTCTAAACAAGAATGTGCTGTATCTTCGATGATTCTTGTGTATTTATCGATGAAAGCGATAAAAACAAGCTACATATCTCCATGCTGTGCATTATTTCTCATTCTCCATAGAGTCAGAAATGAACCATTAGTATTGTTTAAAAAAGGTTTTTGATATTATCAATTACAAAAGTAGTTCAATTTTGTTTATAACTCACTGATACGGTTTAGTATTAGGAGAAAACAATTTTATTAATCACTTGAAAAAGCGTAACACTTTTCACCAACTTTATTCATGTCATCGATTCAGTTTCGTTAAAAAACGTCTTTACGGTAAGATCTCGCTCAATACGGTTATGTTCATAGCAGAATACAGATAACCCTTGTGAGCACATGTTGTGACGATTCATATGTTAACATGCCTTGAAATGGGTGGTGTACATGTGTGATTACTTTAGTTCTGATGCATTGGTAAAACTCGTCTGCTTTTTGAAGTTGTCGTCTTTCGTCGCTCTGAGATAATCGTCTATTAAAAATGATGTTATAATTTATGCTTTTCTCGCTTGAAACTTTGGAAATGCACTTAATCTCGACGACGAACAAACAACTCCTTCTTTTATATTATCTTTTGCATTTTTACACAATCTTTCTGTATAGAGTTGTATTGTACGTCTTTCATTATGCATTACTGTCAATACCGGTTGTCATCTATTCAAATTCAATACTATTTGTGGTCTTTTTGATTGTTCTTACTATTTTCCTCGCATTAAAAGGAGTTCATCCAATTTATCGTTTCGATCGAGAACGATAAAAACATCAAGCAATCTGTATTCTCGTTTCCGTACGGGTACATCTTTTCACAACGTTTCATCAACTACCTTATAACCCCGTTACTGATAGCGCCTGAAATGTAAACCTCGAAAGCGAAATCAATGCATCTTAATCGGTACGTTTAAATGTATACATCTAAATCCCTACGTTTTTGGACAGCTGAATTAGTATGTCTTAATGAGTACGTCCATAATCTGCATGTCGAAATCCATACATATTATACGATCAAATCAGTACGTCTAAATTATTTAGTCATAAAAAAATATAGATGTATAAATTAAGACGTATAGATTAGGACGTAGTTTTGGTTTCTCTGAGAAGTAATCCTTGTTTTCTTATCATCGTTTCCCAGAGAAAACATAAAGCGGATTACACGATTACGAGACGAAATTTCTTTTAGATTGGATCATTGGTAAAAGTGTATTTGAAGATCATCACTCAAGTATTTGCTAAATACCTTCCTAATATATAATGATGAATAGTTAAAGAGTATCTGACCTGAAGAAATAATCCTATATGAGGTTAATGGAACGTATAATTTTTCTATGTCATAGTGTGACATCAAATCTTTGAATATTACACATTTCACATGTTAATGCAGCTTTTTCGAGTAGAATATCCTTACAATTACTACAAGTAACGCTCGTCTGTGTGACTTGCTTAACCCTCGACTGAAGATTGACTGATCTGGCGCCTCCTATTGCTGAAAATTTTTGATAAAGCTAGTAATTAGCACCTGCACAATACCTCTTCTTTTTTCTGCTTATCTTGCTTGTATATCGAAGTAAAGTCAGAAATGTTAGTATTATGAAAATGGGCTCAATGCATATGCAATTAAAAAATATTTTATGGCTAGAGTCTGTCTTTCTGGCTTACCTTGAATCAACGAAAACAGGTAATAAAATACTCATTATTTGCTTTGCTTTCAATTGGAAAAAACCCACAGCAAAGTAAGGTGAAAGCATATAAGCCACGCAAATTATACATAAAATGACAGGCATTAATACGAAAAAACGAAGCTCTCAAATAAAATGATAGTCACACATGGTTGATTCAGTTGGTTTATGTTGAAACAAAAAGAAAAATTAGCGACAACTATTAATACAAGAATCACTTGCCGATTTATATTACATAACAAACATAAACATTGCGATATCACTGGGTAAGTAGCATCTGATTTCGATTTCGGTATTTTACACTAACGACATGTTTAATTTTAACTATACATCAGTCCAGATGCTAATGACAGTAACAATGTTGGTATGTTAACTTATGATTCAGCGGTTTCCGGGTAAATATTTTCTTAAATAAACTTGAATTGGTTTTGTGGATACTACGCGGCTTATGAGATTGCTAGATGTATGCTGTGCACTTCGAGTTTTTCACAACTAATCTTATAATTGAAAGTTTCTTTAAAAGTATGTTCCCCTGGGTTTTATCCTTCTTATGTTAAGTATAAAAAAAAGAGTCGAATATTCCGAGCGAGGACTTTTTTCCTTTCCTTTTAGTGTATGGCGAACTGAATAATACAAGACACGTGGACAACGTAACAAAAAGTGATATCACTCATTATTGAATTCCGTTAAACCGTACCTGTTACCAAACTACTAGTAATTTTTTTCCCTGACCGATGCTGGTATCATATTTAAGACATTCAGAGAGATAACAGCAGCTGAGAAACACTGTAATTGTGAAGTAACCATAGTTATTCCGCCTTTTTTGCTAAAACGAATCATGACTGTAACTGACATATACTTTTGTGTTCGCCCGGAGATTTCTCTCATCGTCACTGTTAGCTCGAATATACGTATAGCCTGTTCGATGGGTAAAGTTTCTAGCGTGTTAATCGGTACCAGTCAAAATGTAGATCATGTCGCCACTTGAGCACAAACTTTACCATAGAGGTGAATGATTTCTGACTGTTAGAACATTCTCAGGTTCCCAAGGCCTACGTTATTTGAGATTGAATAGACCGGCACAGCATAGGCTAGAAAAAAATATCTTCAGCATGATTTACATCTGCATACTTGTTAGGGTGATGTCGCACACCGACATGCTCTATACCTCTCTCTTTTTTATCTTTATCGGTGTTTTCCTTTTCATTTCTATACGTATTATATATTCATTGTTTTCTTATTATTTCCTCCTAATAAAAGTTCGTGCGAGTACATCAGCACATACATCACGGTTGAATAAATAAACAAAAGAAAGAGAAACGAAATCCTAACAAATAGATCTTCGACTAATTGTTGGACATCGCAATCATCATAACAGTGGACATGAATTAGTACAAAAACGACCACATCCAACCATGTTAAAACCAACCCCACTTCCAAGTAAGATTTTTCTTGTTGATAAGAGACATTCTCTGATATTCAATGTTACTTTTTTTCAGATACCATAAAACAGAAATATGCAAGATCCCTTGGTCAATTGATCCATCTCGAATTACGTACAGTCAAATTATTACCGCTTTTACTCTTCCCCATCATACCAGTTTCCAGATCAAATTAGTGGCGTAACCAGGGTAGGGCATGGTAGGGCGCCGCCCTACCACCGGCAGTCTTTGCCCTACCACCCGGAAAAAATATAAAAATTTATAAGATTTCTGTTTTTTTATTTAATGCTAGT